TACTCCTTTTAAAAGGCATGCCGAGGTTGAAAGCAATCAATTGAAGTCTTACATATTAAACAAGGTGCCACAACATTAAAGACACAAACAAAGGGAGCTTCTTGCACAGTTTGGTGAGCTAAAGGAAGTAATTGAATCTAATAAGCCATATGGATCCTGCAACAGAAATGGGCAACAAGCCCCTAAGTTAGTAACAAGTTTAAACAGGCAACCAAGGAGAGGGCGGAGGAAGGAAGGGTTTTACCCACGGTGGGGGCTTCTCTTTGAGGTCCTGCCATACCAAGATGTAGGTGACCCAGTCGGGGTGGCTCTCTCGTCCAGGGCGGAAGATGATGTTTTTAACTGCTAAGATGAGGGGAAGGTGGAAAGTCCCCTCCGGTGGCCAATCCACGGAGAATGTGGGCCACTCAGACGAGCAGAAAGTCTGCCATTTACTTTTTTTAACCTGAAAGGAGAGATTGTGAGCCCTCTCTCGAACCTCCGACCAATGGTTGAGGGTGAGGGACAATGGGGACGATGTCATTTGTCCCATGGTGTTCTGAAGACAAAGAGTGGTTAGCGTACGCGCGACACAACAAATAACCGTTCACAACAGTCACAACACACAGGACAAACAGGCCGGCCACCTCACTCTCACGCATTAGTTTCACACCAAACGAGTCACCTTAGGGGGTGCCTCCAGATTGGCCCGGACGGACCACAGATTGGGAATGAAATTCCCCAGATTGGCCCAGACGGACCACAGATTGGGAATGAAATTCCCCAGATTGGCCCAGACGGACCACAGATTGGGAATGAAATTCCCCAGATTGGCCCAGACGGACCACAGATTGGGAATGAAATTCCCCGAACGAGTCACCTCAGAGGGTGTCTCCGAATTGGCCCTGACGGACCACAGATTGGGCCCCAAACCGATAGGAAAATCCTATCGCAGACGGTGAGCCACGGAAAACCGTGTGGGGCGTCCCCCGGTCACCAGAGAACAGAGAACAGATAACAAAAACAGGTAACAAAAATTGCCCCTAGACCGGAGCCGTTTGGCTCGGGGCGTAAAATACCGGTAGATTGATCCTCAGAGTAAAAATAAGAAGCGACCGGTCGTACTCACCCACCGCAGAGCCGTTGAGGTCACCTTCCGTGAGACGTGCTATCTCGCTAGGGCCTCCAAGATGTTAGACCAGCCGCAGGGAAAGAGACCCCAAGGACTCAACTCTTGGTGAGGGAAAAAAAGTTTATTTCCATGCGCATGGGGCCCCTCCGCACACGTTTGCCTGAGGGACCCCATGCGCATGGAAATAAACTTTTTTTCCCTCACCAAGAGTTGAGTCCTTGGGGTCTCTTTCCCTGCGGCTGGTCTAACATTTTAAATTTAAGTTTACTTGTTATTTTATTTAAAAATTCTGTGGTCTTGATGAATGATGCATTTATTGATGCAAATTATTTAAAGCTTATTGTATGAAACTATAACACATTGCACTATAACACATGCAAACAGTTTCCTCAAAGATCAAGAAAATGTCAGTTGGTGATGAAAGTTTTTAGTTTTCTTCTGATTGTTTAGAAATGGGTTTCTCTGCTTTTTCTTTGTGCAAAGACCTTACTTGGAAATCTAAAAATTTAAGGAACTGCTGGAACATGGTAGCAAAAAGAAAAGATACCAATGAATAAACTTTGCTTTGCAAACATATAAAATAGAGTGAATTCTGTTGGATTTAAATTAAATTTCCGCTTTCTCTCTTGCTCTCTTCCCTCCTGTTTCTCTGTCCCCACCTTTGGCCATGTGTGAGGCTGGGGATGCAGCAATGTGAGCATAAGACTGATGCACTCTCCCAAGACCGATCCCCTGGTGACTCCTAGTGATATTTGTTTGCAGCGCCCTGCAGGGTGTGAAGAGACACACCTGTGGGAGCAAGACATGGGGCTGTGGGGCCCAAGAGGCACATTTTGTGCTTAAATCTGCTGTCAGCACAGCCTGCCAGTACCTTGGTGCAGGACGTGGGTGCCGTGGCTTCTGCACAGGGGATGCCAGCCAGCACCCTGCTGGCTGATGAGAGACCCTGGCAGGGTACAGAACTCTCCTTTCCGTGACTTACATTCAAACTGCTGCATGAGCCCAGCACATCAGGTAAAGCCGAGGAGAATTTATCAAGGGAGCGGAAAATACCAGAGTTTCTGTGCTTTTCCATATTGAAAGGAATCATATCTAAAATATGGACCTGTAAAGATCAGTGTAGGCTATTTTTTAAAAAATTTCTGAGTCTCTAAGGAGGCAGTGATAAAATGTCTTAAAATTTTATTTTATAAGTGACCTTCTTTACCAGAGAAACAAGTGAATTGGTGAGAGGTGTTAAAGTAAACTTCTTATTTTCACAGAAACAGCTCGAAAAGTAGGGCTAGGGAAAGGGGAAAAAGAAAACCAGGCCTGGTAAAGCACATGTGATGTGTCTTCCTTTTAATTTTAAAAGCTTATTCATAAAACACTATTGAATTGTTGGGTATTTTCCATATTTATTTTGGAGTAAAACATACATGCAAATATATTTGTAGCCACTTAAATGTGAAGAAAAGTTGCCACACTCCCAATTTGGAGAAACTCTTGCATTTTAAAAATCATTATTTTGTAGTCCTTATGTCTGGTTCATTGGCTGATAATCTTTTTCCTTAAAGAATTAAATTTCAGCTCAAAACAAAAATTATACAACTTTTGCTTTTCCAGAATGGCTAGCACACGCTGTGTTTACGTCCTGGAAAAGGAACTAATAATATTGTGCTTTAGCAAGTGATCATATTTAATACTATCTTTTAATCAGTCTCATCTCTGGTACTTATGGGAAAATATTACTGGTAAAAAGTACAAAAAGGAAAGAATGTCTCATGATATATCAAGATGTCTAGAGGTTTAGCTTTATTTTGTTTTGTTTTAAAGTTGCAGTGTAGAAGTTTTTGATGATGAATCTACAAAGGAAAGGGATTTTTATGCTGTCAAGTTTGAAAATAACAGACAAAGCCTCAGCTCTTAATAACAATCTCTTTTTAACATATGTTAGCTTGCAGTCACACTTGTTTTGGTTACTCTTTTTTTATGATTTTAGGACAAGAGCTTACTATGGGAATTTAATATTAAGTATTATATTTGATATTCCTTTAATAATTCACTGGTGACATAATTTTAAAATAAACATATATATTTGTCATGTCTTCTTATACTAATCTATCAGCTATACACTACTTTTCTAATGTCTGTAGCTATGCAACAGAAACAAGAAAAATACTAATAATTTCTAGAAGTAGTTCATTCTAATTTTTTTTAACCAGTAGAACTCACATCATCAACGAGGATACTAAATTAAACATTATTTTATGAATTGTGTTTTCAAAATGAAAATTTTCAACTTTAAATGGTATATAGTGAAATATTAAAAGGGGTTGCAATTTTGTGTGGGGAACTCAAGTCCTTAAGCCATATTTTGGTAATTTTAGCTATTCTTAAATATAATTTAAGAATTAAAAAGTTTTAAATGTTTTCCAATCATAAAATCATAAAGATGAAACCAGATAATTTTTGAAATAAACTAATTAGGAGCTTACAATTTCAATATTTTCGGCCATTTTAAGATTAAAATGGTAAGAAAGAAATATTTTGTGCAGTGTGAATACATAATTTTACTTCTTACATTTTGGTTCACTTTGTCTTGGTCTCTCAGGTGTAACTTACCTGCATAATATCTTGTTTATACAATTGGAATACCTAAAGAAGAATATAAATCTGAGAAATAAAATTCTGGTATTCAGAACTAATAAAATGTGTCATGATACAATTTCTAATTAGACGTAGGCATGGAAAAGCTGTTGGAAATAGTGCAATAAATTCTGGAGTATTACTTTAAGGTCCTTATATTCTCATTACAGGCTTTCCCCTGTGCATTTAGATGAGGATGTGTTCCCAGATTCGTTTACCAAAAGATCACTGACTATAGACTATTTTTGGATCAAAATTCATTTCTCTCACTTGCTGTTTGATCTCACACATGCTTGCCATTGGCCATCAGAATTACAGTGAGGCTTCAAGACTGGAAAAACACCTCCATGTCACACTGGAGATGAGTCAGTCCCATTAGATTCATATCTAAGGGTACCAATGTAAAGGATCTGAAATGATGGCTTAAACAGTGAGTATATTTGTAAGAGAAAATGGTCACCAATGTAAGACTAGAAATCTACGGACAAGGGATCTTTGTCCTGAATGTGAACTTATGAGTGAGCTTCTAAAGGAAAGAAAAGAGCAGATAAGATTTGCAGAGCCTATCAATTTAACCTGTTTCACACCGTTTTTGGACATACTTCATGTATTACTGATAGTTAGGTCACACATCATTTTTCATACAATTCTGTTAAGCTCTAAAAACTGTTCTTAACCTTAAAGAGAAAAGCATTGCCTAATTGAACATAATAAGTGGCAAGATCGAAGGAATTTGCCGTTGTCCACAGAGAGGTTTTGAATAACAATGCAGTAGTCTTCAGGCTATAATTCATGTTTATAGTAAATGTAAAATAACAGGACCACAACCCTTGATGATTCTTGAGAAGTTTTTATGCAAGCACCACACACAGTCATGTATCAGTTGCACTAACATGCTGCTTTTAATCCACATTTACAATGATCCAAGCAGATCAAGAGTTTTTCTGTCCTACTTGGACACTGGATGAGAAACATGTTCTCTCCTGAGAACTTGTAAGAATGCAGCATTGGCCTCTAATCCTGAATGAGAATTCATGGTTTAGAGCACAGACTTATATGATACATGTGTATAAAAACAGTCGCAAACAGTGCTAGGTTGTAGAAAGCTCAAACATGAATTCAAAACATGGTGTAGACTGATACGTATAGAAACTTGTCTTGCTGATGACTTTTATTGATTTTCATCTATTTTTTCCACGAAGAAAGGTAAAGAACAAAACTTTTATGAAAAAAACATCTCTAGTACTCAAAGAGAATGACAATGAATTCACTTGACTTTATGAATCCTCCAGAAGTACAGTTTTGCTTTCCATTGGTTAATATTTCATGTCCCAGAAAGGATAGGCCCATGGCAATCGTCTACACCATGTACATCCTCATCATCTGCTCCATAGTGATGACCATGCTGGGCAACATGGCTGTGATCATTTCCATTGCCCACTTCAAGCAGCTCCACTCCCCAACCAACTTCCTCATCCTCTCCATGGCTACCACTGACTTTCTGGTCAGCTGTGTGGTCATGCCCTTTAGTATGATCAGGTCCATCGATTCCTGCTGGTACTTCGGAGACCTCTTCTGCAAAGTCCACAGCTGCTGCGACATTATGCTCTGCACCACGTCTATTTTTCACCTCTGCTTCATCTCAGTGGATCGTTACTATGCTGTTTGTGACCCTCTGCACTATGTCACCACAATCACTGTGCCTGTCATAGAGTGCTTCCTGCTCATCACTTGGTGCTTGCCCATCGTTTTTGCCTTTGGCCTGGTCTTCTCAGGATTGAACATAATTGGTGCAGAGGATTTTATTGCAGCCACTGAGTGCACAGGACTGTGTGTGCTGATATTTAACAAGCTCTGGGGGGTGCTGGCCTCCCTCATAGCTTTCTTTATCCCAGGCACAGTCATGGTGGGGATTTACATACACATTTTCACAGTGGCCAGGAGGCATGCCAAGCAAATTGACACAGGTCCTAGGTCAAAACAGGCTGAGTCAGAAAGCAGGATGAAATCCACATCCAAAAGAGAAAGCAAGGCCACCAAGACTCTCAGCATCGTCATGGGCGTGTTTGTGGGGTGCTGGCTGCCTTTCTTTGTCTTGACAATCGTAGACCCTTTTATTGATTTTACCACCCCTGAAGATTTGTATCATGTGTTCTTATGGCTGGCTTATTCTAATTCTACTTTCAATCCTATTATTTATAGTATGTTTTATCCTTGGTTTCGCAAGGCTTTGACGATGATTGTCACAGGAAAGATCTTTAGACCTGAGTCTTGTAACCTAAATTTATTTCTGGCATATTCATAATTGGCATGAATTGGCAATTCATGAATTCATGAATTGGCAATTTTCCCAATTCATGAAGCTTTTAATCTTGGCTCTTTTCTCCTCTTCACAGAGGCAAGCACTAACTAGGTGAGGAGATTCTCCCTGATAGTATAATGGACATCTAAGAATGGACAGTTCCAGTCTTCTTGTTATACAACTCCTTCCAAAATCATGCATATCTTTGCTTCCTAACAAAGCAGATCCGATAAAAAAGAAACTCTGTGTAAAAATTTACTGATTTCTGAGTTTCCAGTTTACAATCTCATCCCAATAATTTCTTTTTTCTTTTTTTTTTTAACATAGCAAAATACAACAAAACAAGGCAGAATAAAGCCAATCAAGACAAAGCAGTGAAACTGGTACAGAACATCAGAGAAGGATACTGAGATAACATTAATCTTACCATAGTATATCTTGTTATCTTTACAATAGTTGTCCAGTCAATCAGGTATAGCAAAATCAAACCAAAAATAGAGTATTATAAAACCTATCAAAAAGGAACATTGAATGCAGGAAAACAGTTAATCAGAACAAAACAAAACAGTGACAATAGTTGTCTTCAAAGAGAAGATAGAAGAAAATCCTCCATATTTGCTATATTGCACCTAGTCCACCTCCCAAGAGATGCTCAGACCTCTGGCCCCAAGTCAGCATTTAGTTGCTTTATGTGCCTTAGTTGCTATCAACTCCTGACACAAGCCAGCTGCTAACTGGGGTGAAGGAGAGGATGGAAGATTTGATTCTCAGCTTGTGTTGGTGCTGCTTCCTGGGAAGGAGGGTGTGTTCCTTTCTTGCTCAGCCCCCCAGGCGTCAACATGTCTGGATCTCTGTAGATGCTGACTTGTTCTCTTCCTGGCATGCTCACTGCTGGCTCATGCCACCCTCATCCCAGTAGTTTAAATAAATCAAGAACTTTCTCATTTACAATTTCAACATCACAGAATTTTTCAATTATTGCTGGCCATGTAGTATATCAGAATTTATCTAAACTCTGAGAGTACTGAGAAGGAAATTCAGAAGGGAACTTGAGCCTAAGTTATAGATCACCCGAGTGACAAGAGCAGGGAAAGGATAGCAAAAAGTTTATATTCACTTCAACTTTAATTGTTCTGACTTAAGCTACTTTTCAAAAAAATCAATATATAGTTTGCAGTACTTGACAAAATTAGACTACGTTAGAGTATTCTTCCTCCCAATGTGTAGTTTTGAAGTAGGTACAAATGTGTGCTATATGTATACATAGAGGGAGGGTTTCTACAGCTTTTGATAGCATGAGTGTGTATGTCTGTGTTATATAAAATCTTTGCTGAGTCTTAACATTATTTTCCAACTGAAACCCTTTCCCTATTTGAGATTTAAGATGCTCTCTGTTATCTCAATGAATAACATCTTTTGTATCCTTTTTGTCTTTCTTTTCTCCTCCTATTACTTAAATTTATTTTTACCAAAGTTTCCTCTTATAATTGTATGTGAATCTTTTTTATAATTATTGTAGTATAATGACAGAATAAATAAACTCTCTCTAACCCTTGCAAATGATACCAGATTACTCTGATCTTGACATTTCTCTTGTTCATGTGCAAAATTCTACATGAGCCTTTTACAGCCTCTTTGCTGTTTTGAATCTAGCTTTGCTCCAGTACATCTATTGGGAAATTCCTCATTCCTCCAAAACATCTTTCAGAAAGCCTCTCTGTTCAGTTGGGATTTTACATTGTGTTCTTGAACAATATGTTCTGCAAAATATTTTACCTTCCAGAATCACTGTTGGAAATTGGATAATTGGAACACAGCATATTTATATACTGAGAAGTTTCAGTAAATTACTATTACTATCTGCATTGTAAGTTAATGTTTTCTCCTTGCTGATCTGCAATAACCAAAACACACAAAGCAAAAGAGAAGAAGTTTGATTTCCTTATTGTTTTTGTCTGTGATTGGTCAGCATGAAGGCAGAAATAGCATTGTTGAAGGACATTGTGGAGTAAGCTGTGCAGTTTATGGTGTCCAGGAAGCACAGCACGGAAAGTGTGTAGAATACAAGGTGAGGGTCCAGAAAAGACTCCAAGGTCTCACCATATGTCTATCCCAGACATACCTAGGAGTGCTCTAATAATTGCTGGATTAGATCTGAAAGCCAGTGAAATTTCCACCTCATCACCACATTCAACCACTTGTCAATTTGACAGGAAAACATATTTTTACACTACTCACTCTTCAAATAAATACAACAGCAAGTTTATAACACTACTTCACATAATAGAATTATACAGGGTAAATCAGAAATGTAATAGTCTCTTCTCCAAAGTCTTGAGAGCTCTAGCACTTTTAAAAGTCTAAATCCAAATCTCTTTTCAGAAATAAGACAAAAATTTAGTTGTGGACTTCTGTAAAACAAAACATATTCACATAATTCCAAGAAACAATGGCAAAGGATAAACACTTGTGATAGCTCAGACGCTAGAATAAAATCCAAGGAAGCAAGAAATTAAAAAATTTGGAGCAATGGCTTTATTTCCAGGCCTGGCAACACAGCCTCCAGTACCCAATATGGAAGACTGCACGCCTAGCAGGCTAAGGGTGGGGTTTTTAAAGCTAAAAAACCACAAAGCTGTTGACCTATTTCAGATAATATCTGGGATTCTTAGTACATTCCGTTGCTCTCTGCAGTTAAACATTTTCCCAGAACACCACAACTTGCAGAAACATGCAGAAGTGGGGTTGGGAGGACGTACAAGAAGCTGAAACTTAAGTCTTTACTGGAAATGGAAATTTAATCCTATCAAAATGGTGCATACAGAACAGGAGGAGGTGCATTGGTTAGAGCTAGGCCGTAACACACTCCCATTCTGAAAGGGAAAGATAAGGAGATAGAAAAAAGAAGACCAAAGCATGCTGGAATCTTAGTGTTGCAGGCAGTGGAGTTAGTCAGAAATATTATAGGCAGTGATATATGGCTAGGTCCTAACTGGAGCCAGTGCAGACACCTGGCAACTGTGGGGGAGACAGATACCTCCTGCCGTGGGCCAGGCCTCAAGACAAAGGATCAAACAAATGCATCCACATTCTAAAGATTGATATTCTTATTAGTTTCCTATCACCCTGGAGTCTCTATCCCATCCCCCTAGGGGAAAGATCACAACTCTAAGAATGCTGCCTTCCTACATGACTTGCTTTCCCATTTGTCCCTAATATAATCAATTTTACCTGAACTATTGATCTTATTGGCTAACGATCATTCTGTCCCAACTTATGCCCATCTGCCTTGTGAGTTCCCAGTCTTCCCCCACCTTGAACCAGTCTTGCCCCATGATTTTACTCTATAAAAGTCCCTGGAAAAGACAGAACCCTGGGCAACTCATTTGGGTCCCCTTCTATCTTTCTCTGACAGAAGCTTCTTTCTCTCAATAAATATATTCTACTCTTCACCTCCATTATTCCTAAAATTCATTCTTTGGTTTTAGAGAACATGAACTTGCGGACATAGTAGGTCAGGATTTTCATTCCCCTATATCATTTGGAGGTCTTCCACCAAGATCACTGAGAGTTTGCTTTTGCTTCATGTACTCTGGACTGGGACTCATTTAGGCAACAAATTTTTATGCTTCAAATTTTGCTTTGTCTTTGCCAGTTGTTTATAACTATTTGTGATAATTGCTTGCTATTTGCCCATTGTTTTTAATTGCTTTGTCTCATATAGTTTTATTAAAATAATGTGAATCTAAGTTAAAATGTGACATTTATGATATTTCTTTAATGGTATATTATTAGTTTGTTCTTATACAAGTTAAATTTAAATTGGTTGTTAAAATTACTGGTATTACTTGCTTGACTGTATTTAGACAGTAGTGATAGGATTTTTAGCACAGTAAAGGAGAGAAAATATTCAGTAAAAAATGGCCTTTATTCTAAGAACACAGAGAGAAACCCTATGACCACTGGAGGTCTTGTTTTCTCTGCTGAACATGTGGTGGGGGGGGGGCATACATATAGCTTTTGTCTGGGGTAGTGCCTAAAGGTGGCATTGCTGATGCATGAGTAACTGATTGGAACTCTTTTTGTGCCACAGGTAAGTTGCCTAGAGGTGGGGAAAATGACCTCAAGGTAAATGTCCCTTGGTCCCGCCTCCTACTGCTGTAGTGTCCTATCTAGGGCAAAATCTTTTCTTCTCATCTTTTTATTGTTAGAACAAAAGGCGAAGTCTCTCTCTCTTACTAATTCCCTGCTGAAAGGAGGTATCATATTGGGGTTTAGGAAAGGATGACAGTTGATGCCCATGCAGAAGCTGGTGCCAGGTGTTTCAGCCAGGACAACTTTATCATTGGTGAATGCTTGCACATTAGACTGGAAAAACAAAGAGACAAGGTGCTATGAGGAGGCAGGCCACTATCATATTTAAGGACTCAGGTGAGGTATAAGGAAAGGTACCTTTGATTTAGATATGCCATTTTATCAGACCACAGTGAGGCAGAATCATTGCCATGGTGAGGTAGAATTCTGAAAAATAAATGTGGGGTTAGGAGGAGAGAAGTTATGGCCAGAGAAGAAGCGAATCTGGAACCTGCATGGAATAGGCCCTATCTGCAAAGGCTGTGTAGGCTGGCTGTCAACACCCACTATATAGAGACTGAAGACTTAATACAGTGGCCTGAAAACTCAGGAAGAACACTATACATGGCCTCTATATCCACAAGTACAGAAAATGAGATCTTCAGTGGGACTTGGGGCTCTAAGAAGGACACCTTACTGGGGTCTTTGGGCATCAAGTCCAAGCAGATCAGTCAATGATGAATCTATTGGTGATGGAGTCTCCTGTGAGGGCAAAGAGCTAGAGAATGGCTTACCTGCTCTCTGGTGACTAGGACAGTTGCTCTTCCAGTGGCCCTTGAGATTGCCATAAGGGCAAGGCCTCAAAGGAACACCAGGATTGGGGCATTCTCTTGTCCAATGTCCTTCTTTGCTGCACTTGAAGCATGGTC